GATGGAAGTGTTGATTTCTATCGTGGGTGGAATGACTATAAAGAAGGTTTTGGTAATCTTAGTTCTGAATTTTGGCTTGGATTGGATAAGATATACCGACTAACATCTGCAAGGAGAAATAAACTTCGTGTAGACCTGGGAGACTGGTCAGGAAACAAAGCATATGCTGAATATAATTGGTTTGCTGTAAAGAATGAAAATAAAAAATATCAACTAAGTTTTGGTAAATATTCTGGTAAGTTAATACGTTAATATAAACTTTGGGGGAAAAATATTTTGATATATATAATATGTTTGAATGATATGAGTGATTGCAGTTTGCAACGGGGGATTCTCCAAGTTTTGATAAAAACGGATAGTAACGGTTGGTTTCGAACTAAAGCCTTGTTTGTCAATAAAAGTGTAATTAATTTTGAACTTAAAAACTTACAGAAAAAATACAACAAACAAACGTAAAAATCGTTCCAATTTGCGAACGATTCTGTTGCAACGATTGATTGTGACATGTAATGATTGTGATTAGCTTATCATCAACATTAAATGCAAATTCAACTGCAGCTTTGTAAATTACGTAATGATAACCTAGCACCTGAACAACATGTAGCTAATAATCCCGACTAAATTGTTTGGTACATAAGAGAGAATCTATACTGTGAATATCATTGTCTAATGATCATTGACTGAAATCTTTTTTATACAATGCAAGCATTCAAGTAAGCCCCTAGTAATTAATTGTAAATGCAAGTTTCAATGCCTAAATTATATATACATTATAACTTGTTCTTACATATAAAAGTTTTTTATGAACTTAACAACAACCTAAAACATAACAGAAATTTATTTAAGTTTACATGGACAATTCACATTTATAAGCATGAAACACAAATATATCAATTGAGCCTCGGAAAATACCCAGGTACGCCATTAAGTAAGGTCTGTTTCATACGTCAAACTTTACATACACCGAACAGAGCCCTCTATTTGTAAGAGTTTGGACATGTATTGTTCTCTGGTTTCCAACGTTTACTGGACAATATCGATCACATGATTAATTTCCGCCATTTTTGTTCCTAATTTTAAAATTTCAACTAGTGTTTATATGGCGATTACTACAAGTTTGTTTGTGTTTTGAGAAAATATTTTGATTTTTTGGAGGTATGGCTACAATAATTAATTATTTCATAGCTAAAACATGTAACTGCTTATCGCCATAATTATGGATCGAGAAAAAAGAAAGAAATGGCTTTACGATAGACTGGATTGTGTGTAGTGAGCATTGTGTCTAACTGATCTTTATCTAAAGGTTTATTTACGAAGATTGTTTTCGAGTGAAAAATCATTGGAAATATTTCTCCTAATGCTAACGATTCAATAGTTTTCTTACATACAAAGCCTGTTCTTTATAGAAAGATTATGACTTATCATTATGTTCGGAAATTACTCTAATTTACAAGTTCTTAACCACTTCAAGAGATAATTATTGCTAATCCAATATGCTAAAATAATATACTTTCGAATATTGTATTTTGCATCTTTAGGAAATCCTTTGAAAGTATAGTATCAGTAATCATAAATAAAATATTTACTGAAACAGCTGGGTAAAATACATTACTGGTAATGAAATACACATTCTGACTGTACTTCAAACCAGAGCATGTTCAATTTGGTTATCAATGATTTGTTCTGGTCTTTACATAATCAATGATTTGGTGTGGTCTTTGGTCTTTATAATTTGGAAAACATGCCAAATTTTTGTCATTACTCAACTTATTATTTTTTTTAAGATAAATTAAAACTTGGATCAGACTCATATACAATGTCAAAGTCTGTACAAAAAGTGACATTTGTAGCAAACAAGACTGTTCTTCAACAGCAGAATTGTTTTATAATACACAAACATAATTTCCTTTTCAACAAATGCTTCACCAAATAGAAGCCTATACCGTTTTGCATTAGAGTTAAACTTTAACTATAATCTCAGTTTCACAATCAATAAGAAATCAACAACTTCACATTAGATTAATAGAATATAAGAGCTACTGCATCTAACAAATAATTTAAATTCATAATTTTCCAGCAAAAACTTTTTGTAATCTATCTTCATTAAATTTTTATGCCTGGACTACATTGCAAAATATGTACTACCTAAGCAAAATTTCACGACCACAGTGCTTCAAAACAAAACTTGGATAACACTGATTCAATGGTAGGCACAGTTTAAGTCAAAATAAATTATAGCAGCTCAATTGTAAATTCAAAATACTTTTTAGTTTTAGAATAAGATTATTAGTGGTGAATTTCTAAAGAATATATTTTTACCAGTTGAGTCGCCTCTACGTTTTCTAAATGTAAATATAACCAAAAATGAGCTGCAGTGATTTATTTTTACATACCTTATACCTGTCAAAGCATAGATTCAAATCTGGAGATATGTGTAGTAACGTGTTTTCCCGAACAGGAATTTGCAGCCAAAATGTCGAGTATTTTCTTTATCGCTGGTAAATTATAAGCAATGAAAACAAATATCTTGGTGCTGTAGTTGAAAACTGCGAGAATATACGTTCACATACGTAAAAATGCCTTGCAGTGGGTCACAATTAGTTTCAAAGCACGAACTAGTCAACCGCAATGTAGCTAAAATCTGCGGAATTGAGTTTGGTTTGCAGAAATTATTCACAAAAACGCCAAAAGCTTGATTGTGGTTTCCGATATGTTTAAAATTTTCATTAAACAAGGCGGAATTTTATTATTTCTTTTGCTCATTAACCAATTTCACACAGTTTTATTACAAGTTTAACTTGCAAGTAGTCACGAAAATGGCGGCTCCGCGCTCGCCCCAGACCCGTTGTCATAACTCTTACAAAAAGAGGGCTCTGGCACCGAACGCATTAAAGACAAAAGAACCATTGTCAAATGAAGATTGACTGAAGTCCTTTTAATATCTAAGCCTCTAATAATCAATTGTAAATGCAAGTGTCAATGCCTAAATGATATATACATTAAACTTTTGTTAATGGAAGTTCAAAAGAATTCTATAACTGCATTAAATGCGATTTTTGAAAGGTATTATTTTTCTTAGGAAATGCTGGAGATTCATTATTTTATCATAAAGGCATGGCGTTTACAACAAAAGATTCAGATAATGATGAGGATCGTATAGGAAACTGTGCCATTGACAGAAAAGGTGCTTGGTGGTATAACAATTGTTATTGGTCCAACCTGAATGGACACTACTATAGTGGCAACCAAAACAATATTAAAGGTGTGAATTGGGGTCGTTGGAAACTTGATAAATCCTTAAAGTTCACCGAGATGAAAATAAAACCATGAAGAACTTCCAAAAACTGTGATATTATAAATTTGATCATTATTTCTAATGAAACTTTCAACATATAACAAAAACATTTTAGCTTTTATGTCTTTTAAAACAACCTTGATGAAATTGTTAAAAATGCGTTGGTGAAACAATACTTTTCTAATATTTTCCCTAAAAATTAGAGCTGATTTAGGTAATTATATGATTCTAATGTTACGTCATTTCACTCATTTTTTTAATGAGATTTTGCTCTTTAAAGCCCGGTTTCCATATGATCGTTCCTGTCGTAAGGATCGTCTTTGTCGCTTGCAATTTGTAGAAGCGACAGAGATGATCATATGGAAACGCTCAACTCAAACGACAAAAGCGATCCATACGTTAGAAACGATCCTTGCGTATCGATCGTTTGAGATAGACTAGAGTTCTATCCTTGCGACAGAAACGACCGGAAACACCTTTTACGCGCTTGCATTTTTTTAATGGAAACCGGTGCAAAACGATCGTTACGAAGTAGCTAATTTTATCTTTTCGCCCCGTTTCACGCAATCTTGATGTATCATGCATTTCATGCAATTATCTTACATCATTATTCACTATGTAAACAATGTCACTTTTGATTGGTCAACTACCTGCAAATAATTCTAGATATCTGTAGGTAAGACGTCTATTTACAAATAACAGTTTGTCATGAAAAGCCGATTTTGAAAAAAATTCAAATCATTACCCATGTCGCATGTTCTTAATCGTCTGAAGCAAGACTTCTCAAATTGAGAACGTCGCATGTATGTGATGTAGGAGATCCTCTAAGCGTTCTCATTGACGCCATATTTGATTTATATATGCATCAATTTATATATCATCAACACACGACATGCACACGACACACGTGTACCTTATGAACATGGAGGCAACTGGAATACAGTATGAAGTATTAATTGACTTGCAAACAGCTATCTTGAAATCTTATTACGATCAGGGAATGAATACAACCTCAAAGGAGAAACATGAAACAATACAAAAGGCAGCTGATGAGACAAGAATTACATTTGAAAAAGTTAAGGTGAGTGAGTATTTCTACCTACTTTTTACTTGGAAGGGCAGGTTACCCTGTACTCTCAGAATTGTGCGCACTAAAATGTCGTATCCAAATCTGTGACCTTAACCTATTTCTCGGTTGAAGTATTAACATACAAATATTTTTTAAAAGGTACTAGAATTTTTCTTACGTAAGTTTGTTTGGAAAGGCATATATATGCAACTACAAATATACACGTTAATGATGTTGTATTGCCTATGTTAAGAAGCTGCGCATTATTTCTTCGACTAAATGCGCTTTTAGAATAATGACAAAAATGCCTTAATGGTAATATTTTGGCCTTGTGTGATGTGCTTTTGCCTAGGAAAGACTAAAATTAAGAATAATTTGGGATATCAAATGATTTGTGTCGGAATGATTTTGTAGCAGTTTTTGGTTTGAAAAAATATCAATATGTTAAATTCAATTCTAGTCTGTGATACTTATAGTCCTTTTTATGAAGATTCTTTTCTTGCCATTGTCTACATGCAAATGAAGTGAACATTGTACTTATAAAAGATAGCTTTTACTATAAAACATATAAATTCATTTTTGACGGTGTGAATTTCTAGCTGAAAATCTATCATATGAGCAAATTTGTATATTCCATTTCATTCATAGTAATTTATTTAAGTCAACGAAGCTCGTTAAGAAATCTGACAATTTGTGTAATATCTTGCAGGTTTAGTTACATCAAGCAGTAGTAACTGGAATGATCCAGCAATGGTATTAACTATTTAATATTTAGGTTATGAGAAAGTACATTTCCTTACCTCTGTCTTGAGTATTTATAAAAGAAGACTTTTTTGTGATAAACATTATTAATAGTGAAATTGACCGACAAAAAGCAAATTGCCGTATACTTTGTGTAAGACTTGATGCAACTTGTCTCGCAAAAAACTCTGACCGCTGCGATGTATCAAGAAAAAGCAAACGGCGTAACAGCACAGCGCCCAAATCGTTGGTGAAAAAACAAATTTCTATTATTTTTCCAAATGAAGGCAGATTTATTGATATAGTTCTACTGTGACGTCTTCTCTCTCATTTCTTTGACGTTTGTGGTGAAAGTAAATTGCAAAAAATTTTGATGTTTTTTGCCTCGTTCTCACGCCATCTTGGATTTATCATGTATGTCATGCGACTATCTTATATATTATCTGGTTTGTCATGCAGTAATATTGTTCCCGCCCAAGAGAATGTTTGCACAGCACCTACAGAAAACACAATATATCTAAATGTTTCTTGTTTAGTTTTTAGAGTTACACCATTATAGTTATTCTTAATTTGAGAATTTGTGTAGAAATTCACACACAAATTAATACAGTTTTTCACAATTTTATATCTTTGGAGTGATTATTATATTCGCCAATTAGCATATTTATATAGAAAACATATATCTTTGTCATTTTGGAATCCAAATCAAAGTATATAAAGGTTATATCCTGATTTAAAGGTCATAACAATGTAGTTAAAACATACAAACATAACTTTATGAAATTGTTAATGGTTTCCATTAACTTTACTATAGTCAGAAAACTACATTTGGAATTACGACAAGACAGTAGTGAGCACTCTCTGTGAGAGTTTTCAACCGGAAAGTAACGTAATAGCAAGTCAAACAATAGAAGTAACAAGTGGTAAATGCCAAATAGATTGACATTGGCGGAAAGGGGGGGGGGGATTCTTGTATATATTCATAAGGAATTTCCGCGAGAGAATCTCGAAACACAACACACGCGGATTTAGTGTAAGATTTGGCTTCAATTATTTTCTTAACGTAGCGTTTCATGTATTTTTAGTTTAATGATCTGAGCTTAATAATTAAATCAATTCAAGAGAATTTAGAAATTAATCATCAATACATGTAAAAAGAAAAATTTAAAAATTTCTTTTAAGTTCATTCGTTTCGATTATAGTTATCTTATAGAAAAAACAAAATGTATTTTGCAAAACATCTTTTATTTTAAATAATACTGGGCATGTGTGATAGAAGGCTTGTAACTCACAGTTCTTTTTAAGAACTGTTTAAACTACCATCATGCAGTAAATGTAGTATTTGCGTAACATTTCCTATATAGGTGGAGGTTTGCACGTAAGTATTTCTCCAGATATTTTCTGACAATTCTTAATACCTTATATGACAGATTATTAAAACAAACTCAAGATACTTTGAATGGTTACTACTGCGGATGGGATTTACTTTATAGTATTTGATTCTATAAAATTTAAACACAAAATCCTTCTTGTAAACTTATAAGAAATCTTCGCAAAGTGTTACGGTGCTTTTACGTTTGTTCACAATGATAGTGCTCATTATGTACAAGTTTGATACATACGCATAAAACATTATTGCTGACTAACATCTGTTCTAAACAAATCCACATGGAAAGAACTTAGTGCAAAAGACCATGCATTTACACAAATGTTTGTAAAGAAATAACGCACACTATATGCAAAAAGTTAATAAAGTGGTGGTGCACATTTCTAAGATTGCTTGATGTAGAATGTTCCTTATAAGATATGGTATTTTAAAAATAGCAAATGGTGTTTAGGATACAATACCACGGTACGACAATAGTATTTAATTCTTCATCTACTTACGAGATAACGAAAATTGATCGAGGATTTATAACATTGAAGAATTGAAAACATTGCCCAAAAGAAATGAGAAAGAAGAGACAATGAAAGAAAAACAAAGCTGAATGATGTTGTTTCATAATTTTTTTTAAAACATACGTAAAATTAAAACATTTATTCGCAGAAAGACAAAACTGACGCCAATATGTAAGCACTTGTGTACAATGGTTAAAAGAGTACACGAATAGGTGATGTAATAAAAAAGACAATTGCTTTCAAAAGTTATGTATTAATTGCATCAGTTATAACTTGACAAGCCCTATGTATACTTAAACTGACCTAAATGGTGTCAGTAAACTCTTAACTGACTTAACTGAACCTTAAATAAACAAGAACTACGTCAGTGAATCAGTCAAGACATACGTAACCATAGAAACCAAAAAAAGAATTTTAAAAATTTATCTTGCACTGTATTAATATAAGAGGACGATTGTTATAAAATTTACCTGTCAGCTTCGTCAATAACTTTTTCAATCTCGTCTAACGTGATTTCATTCGTTTCATTATAAGCTTCTAAATACGTACGGACGAAAAATACCTGAAATATCGAAGAGTTTAGGTGATATAAAAACAGCAAACCTTCGGGACGATTTTGAGGCCGATAAAAAAGCAGCTTTTGTGCAAATTTTTATAAGATTGTTAAAAACACAAATATTTGCGTGATTTTCGACCTGGAATACATAATACCTATAGAGGGAAAAATATATATACGGCAAAACATCGAGGGAAAAAACTATACGGCAAAATACCGAGGGAAAAAGCTATACGGCAAAATACCGAGGGAAAAAGCTATACGGCAAAACACCGAGGGAAAAAGCTATACGGCAAAATACCGAGGGAAAAGCTATACGGCAAAACACCGAGGGAAAAGCCATACGGCAAAACACCAGGGAAAAAGCATACGGCAAAACACCGGAAAAACATAACACCGAAACACTTGAAAAAGCTATACGGCAAAACATCAAGGGAAAAAGCTATATGGCAAAACACCGAGGGAAAATATCCGGCAAAACACCAAGGAAAAAGCTATATGGCAAAACACGGAGGAAAACATAACACCATGAAACCCAGGAAAAAGCTTTCGGCAAAACACCGAGGGAAAAAGCTATACCGGCAAAACACCAAGGAAAAAGCTATACAGCAAAATCACCAAGGAAAAATATACGGCAAAACAATATGGAAAAGCTTACGGCAAAACACTATGGAAAAAGCTATACGGCAAAACACTAAGGGAAAAAGCTATACGGCAAAACACTAAGGGAAAAAGCTATACGGCAAAACACTAAGGGAAAAAGCTATACGGCAAAACACCAAGGGAAAAAGCTATACGGCAAAACACCAAGGGAAAAAGTTATACGGCAAACACGGTATAAACGCTAGATTTTTTGCACTCAAACGCTGTTAAGAAATTCTGTACATCTTCATCATTAACTGCAAGAGAATGAGAAAGTACATTTTCAACGACACTAGACTCAGTGGTCAAAATATACTTCATAAAGGAACTCAGGTACATATCTTCTGCGACATAATCTTCGCCAAAAAGACAGGAGAACAAGAAAACGCGAGAAATTTTGATTGGAAAATAGCACTCTTAAATGTAACCTTTCACAAGATTTCTAGCTATCGCTTGCCACTTCTCCCGAGAAACGTGATGACGAATCACTGGGACTCGTTCATCCTCGCCTAACATGAAACTATTTCATTCCAAAACAGAGAAAATGCATCCCTGACAACGCTGACTCCTTCGTCCTTTTCATCGACACCTCTGGAATCTATCATCTTGACATCCACACACTTCTTTAAAATATCATCTTTTTCAAAATAGTGCAGCAAGTTAGCTTTCACATTCATCATCATCATCATGCAGTCAGTCGTAAGCGACGAGGACTGTTCTATGGTTGGATTGAAGCTCTCCAGGCCGGTCTGTTATCAGCCAGTTGCTTCCAGGTTGTCACGTTGATGTCTCTCCTCTTTAGATTTCGTTTCATGACATCTTTGAGTCTGAGTCGAGGTCGGCCTTGGTTTCGTTTCCCTTCTACTAGTTGGCTGTACAATAGCTGGCGTGGTAAACGAGATCTCTCCATACGATGGACATGACCAATCCATCTTAAATTCTTTTGAATCAGCATGTCAGCCATGTGTGGCAGGTCAGTCAGACGGAGAATCTTAGCATTTGCGATCTTGTCCCGCCATGATATCTTCAGAATGTCCCGCAGTTGTCTCATCATATACGCACTCAGTTTCTTCACTTGAAGCCTGTAGATTGTCCATGCCTCTGCTCCATAAAGGAGTGTTGTCAGCACCACCGCCTGATAGACCTTGGCTTTAACTCTGGTCGAGACATGCTTATTTTGCCACAGCCGATCGTTTAGTTGACTGAACGCTGCACTCGCCCTTCCCATTCTGTTCCTCAGCTCCTTTTCAATCTTAGCAACAACACAACAATGAATAAGTTCTTTCACATTACAACGATGAATAAGCAACACTTCTCGCTCCATAACCTCATTTGTCATAATTTTTAGGGACAAAAGTAGCCCCTTCAGAACTTTCACCTGCAATGTACAACACTTAATATAGTAAAGATGGGTGAAAAGCCACAACATTTCTGACTGTTCTATTTTCAAATTCCATTCATCCACTTTCTTTCAATGAATTCCCAATGGTATTTTGCACCATCATCACAATACCCACTCATCATTTCATGAAATATTAATTGAACATCAAATTAGTGGATATTTTTCTTCTATAATATGTAACTAGAACATCTTTTTCATAAAGACAGACAAGAACAAGTAGACTATATAGTACTCACAAACCTTGGAAAGTAGTCATCTCAAAAGCATCACAATTTTGGAGGTTATCCAGTGCATGTGGTGTTAAAGTTGCATCATCTATAGATGACAGTCCAACCAAAGTTGTGGAATGTGATTCTTCTCCAAGCTGTGGTTCTGTGCACAATGATTCATTTTGAGTCTTTGTTGGTCTGATTTCTCCCAAACCTAATTGTTCTTCCTCAACATCATCAACTAATTCATTAGCAACTACAAAACAAATATTTGTATTTTTATCAAATATGTAACTTATTTAAATAAAGATTGTTGCATAACACACTTTTGCTGATTTCCTTATGCATTCATATTGGAATTCTCAAGTATAACATCAGAATGAATGTTGCCTTTTACAGTATTAATGTGTAATATTTAATATTAGCTCCTTATAAAGTAAGTGTTTAATTTTATTTGTATCATGATAGTTTCATAAAATTAACCAAATGGTGCAAAAATTATTATATACTTGACCTTACAGAATTACTTTGATTATTAAATGCTCATAATTAGGTGTTAATCAACATTAAGAAAATTGACCATACATTAACAAAGTGTTTTTAATAATTAATAGAAAACCTCCTCACTTTCATAATCCAAAGTCTTGCAAACATACAAATTGACACGACTTGCATGGCCTGCCAAGGGACTCCTTGTAATATTCTACAGAAAATGTTCCTGTTGTGCTTGGTAAATATAAAACTCCATATTTGGGTAAAACAAAACCTATTCGGAACTTTCATCATGGAGTTGCTTATTGTGAGCCTGTTGCTTCTCCACCCTAGCAGTTTTTATGACAACATGAGAATCACATTTTTTTACATCAATAGGAAGAAGTGAGCCTCGCTTAATTTTCAAATGATTCCCATCCATCTCAATAATTCCAATGTTTATCTGGGGTGGAAAAAATATCCAGTTACAAGGTGTTCATGACCTGCCATCACAAAATGTTTGATGAAGAATGAAAAAGTAATTGGACAATTTCATGGAAATACTATTCCATCCTTCTCCATGAAAACCTGAGCCTGATTTTTAAAGCATGCAACAAAAGTATTATTGTGTTGATTCGAATGACAGCAAAAAAAAATTTCGTATTGCAGCCTTTTATATTTCAGCTTAAATAGGTGGGAATTACATAAGTAATATCAACATAAAAACAAGCATTGAATATAATTGTTCACTACCACCACCCATCCTTCAAATAATTATTGACATGACCTATTTGCAGAGGTAGTAATAATCACAAACCTTGAAAGTCTCATTCTTCTTCCCCTTTTTCGTGGAGACAAAACGATCTTGACGCTTCCTTGTCTCAACAGTGGCAAATGAAATATCTGCCAAATACTCTTTAAAAGTCAAAGTTTGGTGGCACGAGGATCAGTAGAAGGCCCAGCTGATGTTGATGGATCACTGTTCCGCAACGTCTTTGATTCGTCAGACTTTCGAAGATCCGTCCCGCAGTTAGCACAAAAATTACCCCTTGTATTTAGTGAACTCCTGCATACTGTACATAACATGGTGTTCAAGTTCACATTACCAACAACCGGGAAAGACAATACGAACATATACATGAACGCTAAATGTAATAAATACCTCACGAATGTTCTGTATTTATCATACTTTCTTGAAATAAAACGAAAATATAAGAATATGACAATATTCTGCACTTCGACATCTTTGTAAAATCAGAACACATTTGGCTGGCAAATTAACCGGATATGAATTTTGCATATTATAATTTGTGTTTGTTTGTGTGAATTTGCGTTTGTATATTTGAATTTGCGTTTGAGTATTCGAATTCGTGTTCGTGTATTGCACCTCTGGGCCACCGTAAATTACTGCTAGTAGAACAGTATTTTGTGATAATATTGCACTTTTTATGGATAAGTGTGTAATAATTAAAATTTAAACGAGCTTACCTGTAAGTGAAGTTTGATTGGGATTCTACCGATCCATTGCGAGGAACGAAGGGATTACATGAGATTGCGCCAGCGATCACAACTTCAATATTTAACGCTTGTCGAATATCATTATAACCTTGGGTCGGGGTTAGCAGCCATTTACAATCGGCAATAATCTACACAGTACTAATATCTATTACATAACAAAGAGTAAAATGGGAGGGCATGTAATCCCTTCGTTCCTCGCAATGGATCGGTAGAATCCCAATCAAACTTCACTTACAGGTAAGCTCGTTTAATTTTTAATTCTACCTCACCATTGCTACGCCACTACGGGATTACATGAGACTTTAAAGTACCAATGATATGAGACAACTGAATGAACCAAACCATTACCAGTCATAACTAATTTTATACTCTAACAAAACAAAAAAAAATAAATTTTTAAATAACATTGTGCAGTAATGCATGACTAAAATTGGCTAAACCCTCAATTGGTTTATGATAAAATGTTGCAAAAGTTCGTGCATTAGTCCAACCAGCCGTATTCATTATAGTTTGAATATTCACTCCCAATAGTGATGCTGCAGACGTAGAAGCTGAACGTGCGCTATGTGTTTTAAAAATGTTCATATCTACCCCAGCCTTTTCCATTATTGTTTTGATCCACCGACTCAAAGTGTCCTTGGATACCGCAGAATGGGGTTTAACAAAACTCAACAATAGCTGTTTTTGTTGTCCTCGAATGACGGAAGTCCGCTTAAGATATTCTTTAAGGCATAGGACAACACATAATCTCTCATCCGGTGTGTATACCTCAAACTCTAAATCCTTTATGTGCCTGCCGGGTTTGACTGCTTCACCAGCCCTTTGACTTGAAAAATAACTTTGTTTTCCTGCAATATCATGTGATCAATATGCAACAGATGAATTGTTTGCAGTCGCTGCCCAGACAATATCACCAGCAAGCTTGCCAACTTTAATGTAAGTTCCTTTAGTGACAGGTGTTCAGCCAAAGGTAGCGCCTTAAAATAGCTAAGCACAATATTGACGTCCCAAGTAGCTGTGTATCTTGGCAAACTTGGTCTTTGTTCAAATACCCCTTTCATAAATCTGATGACCAAAGGGTGAGATCCAAGAGAAACGCCGTCGTGCAATGAGAGAACCGATGAAAGGGCACTACGTGCTGTATTTATGGCACTATATCCCAAACCGGACTTGTACAAGGATAATAAATAATCAATTACCTCATTGATCTGTGGGGCACATGGTTGAAACCCATTTTTTAAACAAAATCGTGTCCATCGTTCCAAGTATCCCTTGTACTGCTGCCGGGTTGACTTACGCCAAGAACACATTAATATTTCAGTGGCCTCTGGTGAGATTCCTGTACTTTCGATTGATTGCCGGATAAACTGCAGGCCATCAGTCGTAATCTCTGTGACAGAGGATGTTGAACCCCTGGTTTGTAGGGCAATATTAGAATGTCCTTCTGGTAAGGCAACAACAGCGGTTCTTGGAGTAGCATCCTCCGGAGAATGGGATACCATGGTTGTGTGTTCCAATCTGGGACAATTAATATTCCCGTAGCTTGATCTTGTTCTATTTTCTGTAGCACCCTGCCCAATAAAGAGAAAGGTGGAAAAGCATAAAATCGACGATTAGTCCAGTCAAACGTAAATGCGTCAATTGCAAAGGCTCCTGGGTCAAGATTCCATGAAATATAAGGTTGTATCTGATAATTGAGCCTTGAAGCAAATAAATCAATATCCGGTTGAAATGCGAAAAACTGAACAATATACTGATACATGCTAGGATTCAACTGCCATTCTGTTTGGTCATGAAAAACTCGAGAAGCTTTATCTGCTTCCCCATTAAACTTGCCTGGTAAGTGTACTGCAGTAAGCCAAATGCTGTTTTGAATGCACCAAATCCATATTTCCCTAGCTTTGGCATTGCATTGAAATGATTGACTTCCCCCCATATTAATTATATGTGACACTGCAGTTGTGTTGTCAGTTTTTAGGCAAATATGTGTATTGGACAAACTAGAACAAAAGGTTTGTAAACCCAAAAGGACTGCAGACATTTCCAGATAGTTAATGTGTCGCACAGCTTCAGTGGGTAACCACTGCCTTCCTGCAGACTTTCCCTGGAAATTTGCTCCCAGCCAAGCAACGAGGCATCAGTAAACAGTGTGTACTCAGGCTTAGGCTTTGAAATTGTCTTACAAGTGGTTTCTATATTATCCGCCCACCATCGCAAATCAGCCAGACTGGTTTTGGAAGGTGTCATAACCTCATCATAATGGCCCCTGCAGGCCTTAAAGGTCACCTGAAATGCTTGATATAACTTTGCTTCATATGAAAGCTTAGCTAATGATTAGCCTATTCGCCAAATTTGAAAGTCCAATGTTTTATATTTTATGAGATATGGTCTTCTGAATTCATTACATTGACGATTTCCGAAGGCCGAATTCAAATAGCGCGAGTGAATTTGAATTACCCAAGCTGGGGCGAGTTTCACGTAATAGTTGCCATTGCATGTTTTTGCTCAGTGCAGCCAGTAGCAGTAAAAATTAAATTTCGCCAATTTTCTTTTTGTTGTTGCTGCTACTATTAATGCGTGTTTATCTCGATGTCTTCAACGGAGGAAAAAGTCGAATTTGACATCGAATATATTGCTACGGAGGTCCAGCCTTACATGTTTGAACCGCTAGCTAGTAGCAATAATGTTGAAACTGACGAAGATCTGTCTTCGTCGTCGTCAACGGACAGCTCATCTGACGAATATACTAACAGGATTGGAAATACAAACTGGTGCGTTGCTTTTTTTCATGATTAACAATTTCAGATCGCCGGCCGGGAAAGCATTTGTTGCCATGAGGAACCGAAGACAGACCCTAAAATTCATGGCGACCATTTATGCATCACAGAAGAACAAGAGTTTCACATGGTCTGCATCAACGAAACAGTCGTTAGAACAGCTATGGTTGTATTCATTCACGATCACGGGCAATACCAGACGCTCCAGAAACCGAGTCAGTTTCAGCTTTTTTGATATCTCCTCATATATCGACAATAATTTGCTTATGTTTGATTTTGTTTTGTTTCCCAGAACTTTGCGTTACACTGCCTATAGGCAATGGACAGCATGGATACATGGAAAGCTTGGCAAGAAATATCGACTTCCTATACCATCCTGTGCTGTTAAAGAAATAAGGAAAGCATTTCCTTCACCTTCTGGCATATATAAAGGCTTTGAATATGCACAGCATTTATAAATACCTGTGAGTGTTAGACTTCAGTTTAGTTAAGAGTGAATTGTGAAGTATGTTGTTGCACTGCTGTTACTTTATCAACTTTTTCAACTCTACTAGTCAGTGGATCTGGTATTTTTCGTTGTCTTTCTGTTGCAATTGCTTGGTTTAAACTGGAATTAGCATGTCTGCACCTTATCACTTTCTCCATTAGTTGTTTCACATAGTCTGTAAAACAGGGGGAGAAGAATTAAACTGAGAAGTGCAAGAAATGTACCATCAGTAGAACAAGTATTTGGCTTTTGAGTGCTAAAACTTGTCCTTACCATAAGTACTATCAATTTTAACACCTTTGATGACTCCACATGACTGTCTTGATTTGGGGTGAGACACTTTCCACATTAATTCCCCATTTTCTTTTGTACGCCTTTGTTCTTTACTTCCATTTTCATTGAAATGGAGAGCAGCAATCAGTAATCTAAAAATTTAATTTTACTTTTTAGTGTGCCGCCTTGCAATCATTTTCAGTATGAAAACAACATTGTTTATTGTTTGTTTACCTAGCTTGCATTGCCTTGTAAAAGAAATGTGTATGCTTTGGTGCATATAGTATAACAACTCGATGAAAACATATCAATTACTGTAAATAACTATTATGTCTTATACCAGAGCATTTAGGATTAATTTGTACCTTTCTTTATCCATAAGCGAGGCTCAAGAGTACCATGCTCACATTTTGGAAATAATTCACTATGACCATCATGAATGTTGCAAATGTGATTCAGCAATGATAGCCATTTAGCCTTAAGTAGTTTCTCATCACCACCACTAATTGCAGCACACCAGTAGACATGGTTAGATATTGACTGTGCCCAATCAAGTAGCAATCTACATCCACTCTTCTTACCGGCTGCCATTACCTTTTTTTTGATACCTGTAGAAAAAAATAGACACTGTACATTGGTTAAAAAATTGTAATGCAAAACATAGCAATAATTGATCAAAATATCATGAAATTAAATGCAATTAGAAAAATTCTAAAACCTCTTAATCACTTGGTAATTTATGATTATAAAGATACTCTTTGATCAAATCAGGAAGTACTTTATTTTAAGACCCATTGCTGTACTTTGAGCAGCTTTTGCTTTAAAAGTTTAGGCTTTTGCACAAAACAAAACTGCATTGCATTCCCTTACCACTTTGTCAGTTTGTGTTCCATTGTCACTTATGTTACATTTATCTCTTGAGTCCAGTTGTCCACTCAAAAAAAACGAACATGTTTTTGATGTATTTTCGTCCTCGTCAGGCTGCTCAATGTTTTCCACGGAGTTCTCAAGAGCTTCGTTTATTATCTGAATTGTATATGCGTTTTTTTAAAGTAATGCACTATAATTACATTAAAACTGCTTGGCTACAAGACTTTACCTCTAATTTTCTGCGCTTTGCATACGCGTTTCTAGTTGCCCCGGTTTCCGTTTATCACCAACTTTCGACCTCGAATAGTCGAAGATCGTTGGTATTGCGTCTTTCTTTAACCTTAACCTGGTTGGTCGCCATCCTAAAGATTTCAGGACTCCGGGGTTTTGGACAAAACAGCAGGCTTCAAAGTGTGCCGAACAGAGCTTTGACCTTTTCGAAGGATTCCAATCTTTCCTTTTCACCTTATCGACCCATGCTTGGCGTAAAGGATTCTTAGCGGGGAAACTGAAAAACCCAACTTTTTCCGCCTTAGATTGGTTCTTAGAAGAACCATTTTTGCAGTTAAATGCCACACAGTAAACCATCTTAAAATAGCCGATCAAAATCAAACTTTATTTATGAATTCATATTTGCCGCTTTCTCGCGCGAAATGTCAATGGCAACTATTACGTCACGCCGAGTACTTTCCGACGATAAACCGACGGAATATTTTTTACTTCTATTCAAAAAAAACACAAATTCACACGTTGATATCTCTTAAAATAATCATGGGATTGTTTTCAAATTTTCTTTGAATAGTCTACGCAATATATACATTTTATATGTCAAATAAACAGAAATATGAATTTTGCATTTCAGGTGACCTTTAAGTGCTGAAATTTTATCATTCTCCAGTTGTCTGTAAAATAAAGGGCCCATTTCTACTCCTGGAAAACTGGCCACTAAGATTCCTATAACTTCAGATACTTCCCTTATGGAAGGTTGAGTTTGTGTCATGAGTTTTTCACAAGCTTGCTTTAACCGCCGCGACTTGTTGGGCGTCAAACTAGCCATCATTAGCTTAGAATTTAATAAAAATCCCAAGAATTCTATTTCTTGCGATGGGATGAAATTTGACTTCTCTTCGTGAACGCAAAAACCCAGTTCAGATAAAAACGTGGAGGTGGTAGAAACATTATGACGACAATCGTCATAGCTATACCCTTGTAAATAGGAATCATCAATATATCCCACTGATAATAAGCCCTGTGCTCGCAAATGACCATAAACTGGTTTTAGTAGCTTGGTAAACAACCGTGGGGCACATGCAAGACCATTGGGCATACAAGTAAATTGGTATAACTGTCCCTTAAAGTGAAATTTAAGATACTTTTGGTGGGACTCATGAATAGCTACAGAATAATACGCATCCCTGATATCCAGTGAAGCCATGAAACAATCCGGTTTTATCATTTGAATAACCTGCTTAAGTGATTCCATCTTAAAATGTTGGTAGCGTACAAATTTGTTAAATCTCTTTAAATTTAGTATCAGACGAAATGACCCATCTTTCTTGGGGGTCAAGAAAATAGTAGAAATATATTCCCCTTTCTCATGATGACTAGGTATAATAACCTGCTTTGCTAACAACTTAGAGATTTCAGCTTCAATGAAGGTGGCTTCTTTTGCTGAAAACTGTTTCTGTTTAGAAACATGCATTTGGGAAGGTTGTTGAAGTAAATCAATTTTACAATCTTTCACAATATTCAAAATGAATGAGTCAGTTGTTAAGTTTTCCACTTATTATAAAAACATTGAAGTCGCCCCGCTATAAAACTAGAGGCTGGATTTTGACTTACCAAATTACATTGGGTAGATGTCATTGCTGTTTCTGGCAGTCTTTTTGGTGCCTTTTCTTTCCCCGGTATGGGGGTTTGTGCCATCGAGGGCCCTGCCGAAAATTCTGACCATAATGGTCCCTTGGGCGATGTGAGTGCCTGGAGTAGGAGCCCATTCCATTCTGCCGATCATATTGTCGGGAACTAACCAGCTGTTGGCTTACTCGATTGGTGGCACTAATATCCTGCACTTGTTTGGGTAAATCATCCCCAAATAGCCAGTTTGTGAACTCAATATGTTCACCACAAAGTTGCTGATATTTATCATTAAGGTCTGGTCGTATCAGTTCTCTACGTCTTTGCACGAACTCATAATTAGTATGTCCCAGAATGGCCATAGAGTCCATTAGACTCCTTATCAGTGATTTATTATCATCAAGTTGAGATGAATCAGCCTGCATGAGTTTGTGGATAACTTTAACCACCGGAATGCTAGCCTTCAGTAACATATTTTGCACCCGTTGTAATTTAATATCTCGACTCCGAGTGCTTGACTTCAATTTCGGCCAAATTTCAGGGTTGATTTTAGTGCCTACAATGTTCTCGCAGTTTGTGGGCCGAGTACTCTGTGTCAATTTTTCTTTAAGTTTTTCATCGGTTAATCTGTTACGCACCATTTTGTTAGCAACGCTTGCTAGTTTAGGATTAACCTCTTCAGCACATTGTTCGTCAAGGTTGTATTCTTCAGCTATTAAGCCTAGAACATCCTCCTCATTTTGAGCAGAGGCTGGCAACATTCGATGTAGTGTTGGGATCATTCCCTGCTAACAATTCGTCAACTTCCACGTCAACATCACCTGTTGACTCACGACGCGCTCTTTTAGTAGCTTTTCGTGTTTCCGATGCTACTGATGCCACGGAGTCCGATGACTCTGATGCTGAGCGAGTCCTAGTGCGCCCCTGTTTGGTAACGTTGCTTAACTGCGAAGCAATAGCCTCCGTAAGCTTAGAAAAACCTCGCTGAAGACCATCAGTTAGGACTTGTTGCATTGCAATTATATCTCGTCCCATATCCCTACCGTCATCACTTGTCGATGGTATATCAGATGATGTTTTAATCCGTCGGTTATTACGACTTTCATCTCGTTCATTTTCCGAGCCAGACGAGTCTAAGACTTCATGGCCGGTTTCACCTTCCGCCGCCATGCGTTTTCGGTCGATTGCGAAGAAAAACAACAAAATGAGCAAAAAAATAGTTTAAATTGACGATTACGTCGACCTATATCGTAGTAAGAGTGGGAAACAGCAAGATTGCTTGCTGTAAATTCCCCGATGCAAAACGATTGCCCAAAATATATTAATATTACAATGGCAAATACAAAAGCGTCCTATCTCGTTGTGTTCACCTTTACATTGAAGTTGTGATCGCTGGCGCAATCTCATGTAATCCCGTAGTGACGTAGCAATGGTGAGGTAGAACTGATTGTTGACAGCTGCTAAATGTCATTACATATCGCAAGAATCAAGGATTTCGAAAAACATGAAAGAATTGCCTTACGTCGAACTTACGAAATTTGATTGCGTATGGTGATTGTTGTGCTGAACTGCTTTTGATATAAGGTTCAATTAACTGACTCAAGTAGAGAAACATTTTTGGGCCAAATAACATTGCGAAGTTCGTGTTAATGCAGTTTCAATAGCTTTCTTACTCCAAGGCTTGTTTTCTTATCGAAGATGATTTCTCATTATGTTCTGAAATGGGTCAATTTACAAACCTCTCAATTCTCAGCCACTTCCACACTAAAACAACTACACCAAATCACAGAAACTCTTACGATTTTCCATGTTGTATTTTGTATTTTTAGTTCATCATTTAAAAATAAAGTAATTATAATTAGGATATTCACTGAAACAGCTGAGTACAATATATATTTGGTAATGAATTGTACAAATGTACCCTACTTCTGTAGCTGAAAGTAGAACATTACTTCTCTTCTAGACTTGCCAATGATATTTTAATTGTAGGTTTTGGTTTATAAAATCGCAGAGGCATATCTCCATAAATTCAGCTATTTGGGCTCTTTAATGTATATTACATACAATACTGGCATATTCAACCATTTCAAGTTAGATCATCGATGTCAGGTTCTCTAAAAGATCACGTTTTAAATAAGGCATGAACGTACATACATAAAGAAAAACACATGTTGTAGACTAGTGAGAAATTTATCATTTTAAGAAATATACAACAACTGAAATAATTTCAACTAATATCAATATAACGTATATTTTTATAAATGCCACGTTTGTGTTTTTACATTTTCTTTGAAAATAAAGCATGAATTAATTTTCAATTTCAATAGCTTGCTGAAACCAAAAATAAGCCCATCAACACAAGCTACTTTTTGAAATGGATAATTTCAGTCAATTTGAGAGGTAGAAGTTTATAGCTACATACCTTGATGGTAGCTATGTTTCAAGTGATGTATAGTTTTTTAGTTCTCAATTTTTAGTCCAGCTTTTCATCATCCTTATTCATGTCTATTTGAATTCATTGTTTTTGCCGTGAGTATAAACACAGAGAGATTGACAGCAGGATTACATGAGCATGCTGGCGATATGAACTGTAAATGAAACATTTTTCTCATTTTGGACCATGTTCAAAAAAGAATGTCCTGTACATTCATTAT